AAAAAAAAAAAAACTTCAAACTTCAGGCAATGACTAAGAATCAGAAAATCTGAGAAAGGCCTTAGATATATCAATCCCTATAGTATTTCAACTCCAATATCCTTTATCCAACAAAATCATACAATTCATTAATCTTTCTACTTATTAACTTTCACTTTCTTCACCCTCTACCCATTTCCCTACTGCTCTTCTTATCCAACTTAAATTCCAAGATCAACCACTATAATCACTTCCAAGTACTCCTGATTTCTTTGCCTCAACCTGACTTCATCACACTTGCCTGGCTAAACCATAACTCTGCTTTTTCCATCTACTCAATGCTAGCACATGCAGTTGAACATAGACAATGCTAAGGAATTCGCTTAAATTCATTATCACTAACCTCAGTGGATATTTAATGATACATGACAATCATAGTACATTTCTTTAATTGATTCACTCTGACACGCTCCTAGTTAAATATTTCATAACTTCCTTCTCCTTCAGTCATCTACAGTAGTCCTCCTTTTCTGAGGGTGATATGTCCCAAGACCACCTCCCCCAGTAGATGCCTGAAACTATGAGTAGGAATGAACCCTATATACAGAGTACTTTGTTCCCCCATATACACATACCTATGATAGTTTAATTTATAAATATGTACAGTAAGAGACTAGCAGTAATCACTGATTATAAAAGTAGAAAAATTGTAACAATATACTCTAATAAAAGTTTTATAAATGTAGTCTCTTTCAAAATATATTATTATACAGTAATATTTTCTTACTGTCGTCAGTGTGGGTAACTGAAACCACAGAAAGTGAAACTGCAGATAAGTGAGGGCTACTGTATGACTTTTCTCTTATCCTTAATTTCATTTGGTGACCCTGTTTCCCATTTCACCAAGAAAATGGAAGCAAGCAGAAGAGAACTCTGCAAATTCCCACCATTCCATCTATACAGCAACTATACCCATTTACTTCACCATCTGTTACTTCCTGAGAATTGTCCATGTTCCTAGCTAAAGCTAATCCCCATTTATAAATATAGCCTGTCCCCTCTTGCCTACAGCCATTCTCTCATTCTCATTTTCTTCCCTATTTATTAGATCATATCCAGCCACATAAAAACATGTTATTCCCAAATTCCTTAAAAACAAAATAATTCTCCTTCTCATGTCTGTCTTTTCATACCAAACTACCTTGACAGAGTTTATAATTGCTACTCCCACTACCACTCTTTCAATTCTCTCAGACCTTCTCATCAAGGCTTTTTAACTTCCAATAAAAACAAACAAACAAAGAAACAAACAAAAACCTTGTTATTATCAAGGTCTCCAGTATTGTCCATATTGCTAAATCTAATGATCAATTCTCAGTTCACATCTTACTTGTGCTCTCAGCAACATCTGAATGGTGGATCACTTTCTTCCTTGTATACTTAGTGACCCACTAACTGGTATCCCTGTTTATACCCTGTCATCCTGTGTCTATTCTCAACACAGTATGCAGAATGAGCCTGTTAAATCTGTTGTGTACTCTTTTACTCAAAACTTTATCATAGTTTCTAATTTCAGTTACAGCCAAAATTATTCTAAGTACCTACAAGACCTTGCGTAATGTGCATTCCTCCCCACCCCTCATTATTTGACTGACCATACTGGTTTCTATCCTGCTCTTCTGTCTTCCATCTCTCTGCTCCAATCACACATTGTCTATGCTGCACTGAACCACACTGGTTTTTTTGCTGTTGTCTGAATATTGCAGGCATGCTTCCAACTCAGGGCATTTCTCTGTCTGGAAAGCTCTTCTCTCAGATATTTAGAGTTTATTTATTTATTTCAAGTCTTTTCTGCCTATTTAAAATTGCAAACCCTGACCTATTTCTTTTCTTCTTCTTCTTTTTTTTTTTTTTTTTGGTATCAAGAATTGAACCCACTATGCCACATCTCCAGTCCTTTTTATTTTTGAGAGAGGGTATTGCTACGTTGTTTAGGGTGTCCCTAAATTGCTGACGTTGGCCTCAAATCCATGATCCTCCTGCCTCAGCCTCCTGAGTCTCTGGGATTACAGGTGTGTGCCACTATGCCTGGTTTGACTCTACTATTTCTCATCCATTCTCCTCTACTTTACTTTTCTCTTTTGTACCGGCTAACACACCACCTGATATTCATTTATGCAGACCACTTCTGACTCTCTTGACTTTCCCATTATCAGGTAAAGTCCATCAGGACAGGGGTTTCTGTCTGTTTTGTTCACTGATTTATTCCCAGTATTTAGTACAAATGGCTAGCTGGCAGTTAAGTAGTTTAGAAGGCACTCAACAAATATTTGTTGAGTAAATAAAAAATAAACAAAATGCATGATTTATTTTCTATGCACAAAAATAACAAAAAAAGATACCTAAAATAGAAATCAATCTGGAAGGGAGTTACATTCTTGGGAAATAAGTATTATGATCTATAATACTTCTAATATAGTTCCAAGTGATTGAGCAAGGGAGTTTGTATAACATCCAATGACTTGGGAAGATGCTGTTTATGTTATACTTATTTTGGAAAAAAATTTTAGCATCGCAACATAACATATGTCATCCTATGTGGGCATATTAGCAACCTTTGGGGTTAAATCTTTAGCAAGATATAAAATATGTATTGATGTATACAAATAAGGCACTACCTACCTTTTCCCTACTTCTACTCCTTAACAATTTTCTAGTTTTTCATTTAAATACTTGGAATATTTTCTCTTACAAAGAAATATATAACCTAATGTAAATATCCTATGGTCCATAAACACAATAGAGAGTGTACAAACTGACTCCCACACACTCTTGGATGTGCTCTCTTTAAATATTAATATCAGAGTATGAAACATCTGGTTTAACAACTGTCTTACATGACTAGCATAAACTATTGATATTACAGATAGGTTTATCTCTTAGGGAATCACAGTGATCACCATAAAGCTCTGCATTTGGATGTTAAAAATAAAAAAGAATCTTCTTTCCTCCTAAGTCAAGAATATATAATTCCATATTGGGACAGATTCATGGTCTCTAATCCTAGTGTTCACCATTTTAAAATATTAACAGAATTAATTTTGTGGGACTGCAAATTTGACATGAATATTAAAAGTCTGTCATATCATATTATGATATGATAATTTCCCTTAGTAATCTCTAAAGAATTAGGTATAAATTTCCTTAAACCTTTCCAACCCCAATTTCAGTCTTTACACCCAAATATATAATGTAATTCATTTAACATTAAACATGTTATGTGGCACAACTGTGTGAGAAGTTAGAATGATAAAACAGAACTCCCAATCTGGAGAGGGAAATAAACAATGAATATATTAAAACAATAAATATAATGTAAATGGCAATTTTTTTCACATGTGAAAAATATTCTTTATTAATTTCTCTCATTTCATTACAAAATGTATGTTGGAAATAATTTGAATAACCTACTTTGTTTCTTTTTGTTTTTAAACCCCTGGCTTCAAGGACTGAGAATCTCCCTATCTTTTACCAAGTATTGGGAAACATTGATTATTGTAGTCAATAGGTTATCATTCTGCTATTTATTTTCTCTTCTCAAGCTCTGAAAAAAATGTCCTCTGTATAAATTAAACAACACCACCAAAAAAATATAGAATGCTTCACAAATTTATGTGTCATCCTTGTGCAGGGGCCCATAATCTTCTCTGTATCGTTCCAATTTTAGTATATGTGCTGCCAAAAGTGAGCACTAAATGGCAAATTTTAATAACTGATGAAGAAAAGATCAAGGTCCTTTGGGAAAATGATATGGAGATGGGGACATGATATGCAAACTTGGGGACATGAACAATTTTTTTTTTTTAGTTCCTACTTTGTGCCAGGCACTGTTTTTGGTACACTCCCAGTTACAAACTTAAGAATCACAAAATTATTTAGGGATACTGAATAGGATATTTCACCACTAAATTTGTTAGTTTTATATGTAATGAAAAAATAAGAGCGTCAAAGCAAAAAAAGAAAATTTTTTGAGTGAATTCAGAATTTAAATAAAAATATTAACAAACCTTTTGGATAATTTTTACTGGCATATATCTAAACTTCCAAGTACTTTTGTTTGAGCTAAAGGTACATTATAAAACATCTATATTTTGCTTTTATCCTATAAAATAGGACGTAAGTCAATAAGATTTCCCTATTCCAGAATCAAAGATGAACCTCAAATATTTTAAGGAATAGAGTAATGGTATATTATTTTATTACTGGTAGTTTTTCATACATTTATTAAAATTGGGACAACCCATTTTAGTTTATAGATGCTCTACAGAAATATACATTACTCTACACACAGCCTTCTCAAAACATTGGAAGCTTTCCATGCTTCAGCAAAAATTTTACTACTTCCAATTAAACGTCAGTACAGCCAACCCATAACATCCATTAGAAGTTGTTCATCTGTTTACTGACCTGCGCTTCCACTGCCATTAATAGCATCCTTGTCTTCATCTTCTTCCTCTTCAGGAAGAGAGCTGTCCATTCTTTCCATCTTGCTGACAGATGTTGTTCGTTTTCTTTGGGATTCTGTGTCAAACTCATTATCAAAGAGGACCTGATCAACTGGATCTGGCTGGAAAGGGCTGGGTTCTGCTGGAGGCTTGGGAGTTCCATAGAAGTTTCCTGAAGTGGACAAAATAATAGCAGCTGAAATCTTCATGCTGAATCGACTCAGAATAATATGGCCTACTGTATATCCCTACTGTTTCTTACACTGACGTTTTGGAATATCTACCATTGTCCAAAAGGTCGACCTAAGCACTCCTTGTGAGAGAAGGAGGTAGAAATAACAGAAAGAACTCATTTCTCAAGAGCCCTTTATCATATATCATCTAACATTTGAATACTACTAAGGCCAGGAAGTTGATTGATCCTTTCTTCCTTCCTTCCTTCCTCCCTCCCTCCCTCTCCAGCTCTCTGTCTTGATTATTGCTCCTACAAGACTTGCTTTACATGGGCTTTGAATTAGGACCTAACTTGTAAATTTAAAAGCATCAAAGCTGTCATGTAAGACGAACTAGTACAAAAGGTGGGAGGTAAAGACAATAAAAATAACTCAAATAATTTTGTTTTAATATACATAATGTATTATTTAGTAAGATGAGGAAATATGTGGGCAAAGGATAAAGCTAAGAACTAAGCAGTTTGCAAAGAAATATGGATTGCTGATATAATTTTTACTTTAAAAATTTAAAAATTTTCTGAGCATTCTAATTATATTATCTGACAATCTATTGAACAAATAGTGACATTATTAGTCTAATTCAATATTGGCTTATTCTCATGAAAGCAAGAAATTAATTTTCTCTTGAGGATCAGTGTTTTTTGCGGTAAAAATAAACATTCCAGAACAGAAGGGAAACAACTGAATATCTTCTCAAATTGTCCAGTGGCTTCCTTCCTTGAGGCAGCCCAACCCAATAGGAAAGCACAGTTACATTAACAGTGTGTAGCTTCCACTAGGTGTGACCTTATATTAGTTGTTATTCTAATTTTATAAAAAGTAAATATGATTAGAAAGTAAAATACTCATGATATTTTATTTTAAAAATCCACAACTTTCAAATTCTTTGAAGCTAGGGAGATAATTAAGATGCTCATATATATAAGGTCAATTTATGAGGTAGATGCATTTTTTTCCTGGGTAGAAAAAAATCATAGGTTGCTACCTGTAGCACTAAGACTCATTTATAAATGACACAGTTAACCTTAGGTTGGGAATGTTTGAGGGAGAAAGTGTCAAAATTAATTCCTGAAAGTTTAATTTTGAGTGGTGTCATTAAATAGTCAAGACAAAACAATAAACTCAAACTAAAAAACTTTTCAACTACATCTGCCTCTCCCACTCAACTACTCCCTTGTTTCCAAATCCATGTTTGAAATGGTTGCTTGATAGATGCAAAAATTTGTATTAACACACTCCAGACTTTGCAAATTTCCTGGGTCCTAAGTACAAAACCAATGGAAAAGCAGGTTAAGGCTGGGAAGCAGCTCAGTAGCAGAGCACTCTCCCGACTATGTGAGACCCTAGATTCCATACCAACTATAAAAAAAAAGAAAAGAAAAAAAAAAAACCCAACAACATGGGGCTGGGGTTGTGGCTCAGTTGTATAGAGTGTTTACCTGGCATGTGTGAGGCACTGGGTTAGATCCTCAGCACCATATAAAAATAAATAAAAAATAAAGGTACTGTGTCCAGCTAAAAAAATTATATATATATATACACACACACACACACGGAAAACCACTACCACCAACAAAAACACAAATACTGGTTACTACTTCTCTGGGCAGAGTACAGAAATAATCCAAATAGAGGGGTGACCAGGGAATAAAATATTCTAGGATCTCATTTTTCCTTTATTGTGGCCAATAATCATACTCTGAAGGAATAAGGATATATCCTGTGACAGAAATAAAAAGTCTACTTTTCTAAGGATGATGGTAGTCATCCATAGTCACTAAAAATTTAATAATTATTATCTAACTCTAGAAAGTTTAACTTTTTCCTAAGGGGAAAACTGGAAAAATGCAAGATATTAGAGCTGCTATCCATAATCACTGCAAAGATTTCAAAACTTCAGAATAAATTTTGGCAGTTTCCTTGTTTAGAAAGGTAATCATTGCATATACCTATAATTCCAGTGGCTTGGGAGGCTGAAGCAGGAGGATTGCAAATTCAAAGCCAGCCTTAGCAACTTCTCAAGATCCTAAGCAATTTAATGAGATCCTGTCTCAAAATAAAAAATCAAATCAAAAGGGCTGGGAATATGACTCAGTAGTTAAGCACGCCTGGGTTCAATCCATAGTACAAAAGAAAATTAATCATTGGGCTTAGTAATCTTAAACCATTGATAAATATTAACATTCCAGATGGCAAGGTATAAAATTCCAAGGTTTGTAAACCCTGACTGTAATTACTAACAGAAAAAATTTTAAAAAATTTTGGAACTTTTCTTTTTCTTCCAAAGGCTGTTGCACTTTTATAATAGAATTACCAACAATTAAATAATTCAAATATACATAAAATTATAGATAACAATATTAGAATCATATTAGAAATATATATTTTATTTATATGTTTACATATATAAATATTTATATATTTATACTTATTTACATACACATTATCCAGATAGTACCACTGCAAGATTTCTTTGAAATTTTCCTTCTTTCTTTCTGAGGATATACATACCTAATTGCAAATACAATTGAAGCCCTAATTTCCTGACCAATCCTTCTCACTGCCTCCCTGAGTTGTCCTGAAGTTGGTACATGTCATTCTTCCTAAATACTGTATACATCTAGGGTATATATACATGCATCCATAACAAAAAAATATTATTGTTTTCAGCAAAAGTCTGGGTATTTTCATAATGTTTCATTATTTTCATAAAGAATGTATTGTACATATACTTTTGTAACTTTCTTTTTATTCAATTATATTTCAAGAACATATCCATGTTATACATATAAACATATTTTATTCAACTTCTGCGTAATAAATCCATAAATCATAAATCCATCTTTATGAACAAAAAATGCATTTTATTCATTCCCCATCTACAGAAGCGTTATTTCTATTTCTATTCTGTCGCTATTTCAAACAGTGTTATAATGATATTTCTGGCTCCTGTGTACATAAATACATGGAAAACAGTTTCTCTAGGGTACATATCTAGAGAAGGAACTCCTAGGTCAGTTACTGAATTTACCAGTTATTGCCAAAATGTTCTCCAAAGCGACTGTACCATTTTATATTCTTGCCAACAATGTATGGAAAATTCAATTTCTTGCAATTATTAGACTTAATTTTTTTTTTTTTGCCAATCTGATAGGTGTGAAATGAGGTATGATTGTTGAGCCATGTGTTGTCACACCTGCAATCCCAGTGACTCAGGAGGCTGAGGCCAGCCTGAGAAACTTAGGGAGACACTGTCTCAAAATAAAAAAGTAAAAAAGGGGCTGGGGATATAGTACAGTGGGCAAAGCACCTCTGAGTTCAATCCCTAGTAGCCAAAAAATAAAATTAAATATATAATGTTTTAATTTACATTTCCTTTGAACTAAGCACATAGTAGACAATAACTGAAAATATGCAATATGCCACTTTATCATATACCAAGTTCTTATGCTTCATGGATGCATACCTAAGATTAAGTATTTTTGTACTTTAAGGACAGAAGACTTTGTAAACAAAACTTCAAAAGCACAATTATAAAAAAAACAGTAATGAAGTGATGTTTAATTTTTTTAAATTTATTTTTTAGTTGTAGGTGGATGCAATATCTTTATTTTATTTTTATGTGGTGCTGAGGATTGAACCCAGTGCCTCACACACAGTAGGCAAGTGCTCTCCCTTTGAGCCACAACCCCAGGCCCTAATTTTTATATTTTAAAAATTCTGTTTAATGAAGAAATACAAGACAAGATTAACAGGTGACAGAATGGGAGAAAATATCTACATCTAGTAAGAGAGTAATATCTAAATATCTAAGGAAAACCTATAAATCAGAATATGACTGAGATCTCAACTTGGGAAAAAATGAACAAAGAAAATGAGTGTAGTGCATAATTTGCAGAAGTTCAAAAGACTAATAGGCACATGGAAAAATGCTCAGACTCTCTTGACTACCAGAGAAACTAAAATGAGAATGAGATACCACTTCTATAACCATTAGATTGGCAAAATTATGTA